CAAAACAATTTTTTTTTCAATGGTCAAGCATTAGGCCCAAGTCAGATCGTATACTTTGGGGGGACAGCTCAGCACTAACACGCGTTGCTAAAAAGCAGGGGCGTGGCGGCGGCGGGGGCGGCGGCGGCGGCGGCGGCGGCGGCGGCGGCGGTGGTTGTGGAGGTGGTGGTGGTGAGTGGGTTGGGGTTGGGTTGCTCTCCTTGATGACGTTGTGGAAGACGGGCCAGAGGAAGGCGCGGCAGAAGTCAGTGTAGAAGACCTGAGGAGAGCCGACCAGTGTGTGAGAGAAGGCGGGAGACGGGGGTGACGGCGAGTCGAACACGAGTTGGCGCGGGCGAGGTGTGGCGGGGCGAAGGGGCGCCTTCTGCGTCTCCGGCTCGAGGAAGACGGGGACGGCCGAGTAGTGGACAAGTGCCTGTGAAGAGGTGCGGAGGGGTGGGGTGGCGGGGGTGGGGTGGTAGAAGAGGGAGAAGAGGGAGGAGGGGGGGGCCTCGCCTCCGTCAGCGAGGCCCGGTCCGCCTCCGCCACCGCCACGCCTACGCGACACCGCCCCGCGAGCCACATCAGAGCAGGCCCTCGCACTAGCGGCTCCTCGCGTGTCTCTGCACCCGGGCAGCCGATCCAAAGGACTCGCTTGCCCTCGGCGCGGCCTGCGGAGGCGCGCCGCGCGAGGACCGAGTCGAGGTTCCAGTCGATGGCCCACGAGGCCGTCTCTCGCTCCCGCGTGATGAGCAGCGGCAGTATGTACGACACCACAATCACAGACCCGCCCTCGCCGACGTCGAGCGCGCTCAGCTGGCCGCTCACGCCGGTGGTGCCGTCCGCCTCGGCGAGGCCGGCGGGCGTCGGAGGCGGCGTGGAGGCCCCGGCGCTCCAGCGCGGCTCGGGCGGCGCCGGGAGCACGTCCAGCTCGTCGTCGGGAGGCACGAGGCTGTGGCGCGAGCCGGCGCGGCTGGTCGCCGCGCCGATGGTCCGGTTGCCGTCGAACGCCTCCCAGCGCTCGAAGCGGCCCTCGCAGAAGAGGAGGTACTTGTACTGGATGGAGACGCCCGCCGGTACGGAGACTGGCGCCGAGAGCCAGACGCCCTCCCCGGGCGAGTGCCGCAGCTTCACCGCCTGCGCCGGATCCCAGCAGCCGAGCGAAGGGTGCTCGCCGACCGCGTAGACCTCCTCGCCGCGCCGCGCCGGCGAGTGGCGCACGCGGAACTCGAGCTGCAAGAACGCTTGAGACATCGCTGGGTAACCTGGAGCGGGCTCCAAGAGAGCTCACACACAAACGCTGGTGGTGCGGGCCGGCGGCGAGAGAGGATGATGGAGAGCTGAGGGAAAAAAGAAATGCCGCTGCTGGAGCCTAGCGCCACGGCTTAGGTGAGCAATTCCTCGCTGCGGCGCAGGACGAGGGCACATTCGGCGAGTGGCTCGACGAGCTACCCTTCGAGGTGGCTGCGGCGACCGCCCGGCTGCTCAAGCACCACGCGCGCTCCGGCGCGTGGGTCGAGCTCTCGCCCGGCAACCCTAGCCAGGCCTCACGCGCTGGCCGCGACCGCGACCGCTCGAGCCCGAACTGCCCGTCAGATATGTCGGAATTGTCGGAGAATAGCGACTAGCACACCTCTGAGTCCCAGAAACCCGAGGAGTCACACAGTCCACCTGTGTGATGCACGCCCTGCGAGCGGGGCGGGGTGCGCACTGTCCCTCTGTGTTCGTGTGCGTCGCCCATCTCTCCCTGGAGATGACTGCTCTATTTATTTATTTATTTGGCTCGCCAAACCAAACAACCCCTCCGCGCGCCCACCCGTTCGGCCTTACTTTTGCTCCTGTGGTGGGGGTGACGGCTTCTGAAGCCGTCGCGCCCGCGCCTTGTCTGTCTGATTTTTAGCAATACCAAATTGCTTGTCTGTCGCGTGCACTGATAAACTTCTTTCCCACGGCCACGCGCCAGTTCCCCACGACTCGGAACGCGAATGTGACAGGACCATCGGGTCCTTCGGCCACCAAAGCGAGATCACCCGAGAGCAGCTGAGCCTGCCTCTGGCCTCGCCTCCCTCTCCTCCAGGCATTCGTGGCATCCTATATGGGTCGTCCAGAGTATCGACCTCTGGCTTGTCAGCCAGCCCCAGTGAGCAGTGTTTTTGAGGGCGCCATGAAGTACAGCGATCGCCATCTCGCTGGCCTCTCCGCAACGAAGGCCCCCCGACCACGTCGAACTCATCGGCGGTTTCGGCGCGGGCTCTCTCGGCTACGGGACCGGCCCCAGCTTCGGCTGAGGGCTGACAAGCTGCTGAGCCCAAATCACTGTGAGAGTCGTGATTTCTTGTTGGTTTTCTAAAATCTCTCTCTCCCAGTTCGTTCGCACCTGTGTCGAGCAGCCTGTCTGCTGTGAGAGGGAGTTGTGTTTGTTAATAGCGCCGAAATTCTTTCGAGATCCAGCGACGGAGGTTCCCCGCCCATCATGCAGGTTGACGAGATATGCCACGCCAGGGAGCGGTGGTCGTAAAAAAAAACAGACAACCCAAGGGAGGGATGGGAGGACGGCACACCGCCACCACACAGGGATTTTTAAGGAGCGGTGGTCGTTTCCGCCGGCGAAAGTGCAGCGAAGGTTTTTTGAAAATGCGTCTTGTCCTTTCGCCTGCGGAAACGACCAGGGACCCCATTCGTGTTACCCCGGAAGCTCCGACGAGTTGCCACCTCCAGTGCAGCTCGGACCTGCGCACCTGCGCATCTTCGCTATGGCCGAGTGAGACCCCCAAGGGCAAGGCTGCGGCGACGGACTGGGTGCCCCCCCCCCCCCCCCGCGCGCGCGTCCCCCCCCGCCCGCCCTACGCGCCCAAGCACATCGGCCCGCACCCCACAGGGCGAAGACTGTCTCACGCCGGCAAGCGAGACTCCAACGCCGGCCAAGAAGGTGGGCAAGGACACGGTCTTCGGCGACAGCGTCGAACACGAGGTGTTCTCCCCGCTCCCGGCCGCACACCCCACCCACCGCCCTGACCCCGCACCGTTCCATCAGCACACGGTCGAGTGCACCGTCGAGCCGAGCACCGGCGTCTGCTATGTCGAACCCGGCATGGACAAGACCGGACGGGTTCGAAACCCCTCTCGCCCAGCGCCCTCCCGCGCGGGGCTCATCCTGACTCCCCATATCGCTAGGACGAGCTCAACACGAAGCTCTTCAAGGTCCTCGACTCGCACGAAGAGATTCATCCAAAGATGACGCCGTTCGACCGCGCCAAGATGAAGGCTATCATCTTCCAGGGCAGGACGACTGGACGCGACATCAAGTACGCCAACCTGTACTACGAGGGCACCGAGGGCTGGACCAACGTCCACTACTACCGCAAGCACTTCATCACCACTCCCAAGTACCTCGCCAAGGCGCGCGCGCTTGCCAGCAGCCGCGTCACCAGCCACTGCCTTCCCGCCACCCACAATGAGATATCATGACCTCCCACCCTCTGCTTGCAGCGGCTCGCTGAGGTGGTGAAGGTGGTCGCCGGCTTCAATGAGGAGGTCAAGTTCTACAAGCGGGTCACGCACGAGGGCGGCGCCATCGAGACTGAGCCAACGACGCTGGACGAGATCATGGAGATGGAGATCACGATGGTGCTCCCCCCCCAGCCTCAGTCGAGGCGGGAGAGCGAGCTGAGCCGCAAGCTCGAGGCCGCGTATGCGGAGGCGACTGCCGCCAAGCGGCAGCGCACCGGCCCCTAAATTCACACTACACACACATCACACACATACACATTCACATTAGAGGGTGTCTACTGCAAATACTGTGTACCTGTACTGTAGTACTCCAAATCACCTCCTTTCAGACCCGAGGTGTTCGACCGGGCTAAGATTGCCACTCTCTATACCTTCCACGGTCGGTGTTGGCCAGTTACGATCAGCTATTCCGAGTCACCCCAAGCAGACGCGGCGAAAGGCGAACGGAAAAGAAAGAAAAAACTTACAACCCAAGGGAGGGATGGGAGGACGACACGCCGCCACCACACAGGGATTTGAAGGAGAGGGGTGTGATGCGCTAGCCGTCGCCCACACTTTCTTTCACCTTTTTCAACTCGACCTGGACTGAGGAGACGATGCTCTCTTTCCTGGCCAAGCCAAAGGAGGTGGTCAAGGGCACCTCGATGGCCTTCCCGGGCTTCAAGAAGGAGAAGGACCGAGTGGACGTGGTGGCGTACCTCAGCACGCTCAAGTGAGGACGGCGCGGGACGGCGCGGGAGTGGAGTAGGCCGTGCACGAGGTGCGTTGTGATAGGTTAGTAGGTTGGGGCGCGGAAGTTCCTTCATTCAGGGGTATTCAAAGAAAAGGCGACGCAGTCGACCGACGAATGTCCAAGTCGAATGTCCGGAGGCACCATGCGCCGCGCAGCACTGCGGAAACCGGGCCCCGGCTCCTCTAGTGTCCACGCGCGGCTTAGAAGATGACTGAATTCTCAACCCAAGGGAGGGATGGGAGGACGGCACGCCGCCACCACACAGGGATTTTAAGGAGCGGTGGTCGTTTCCGCCGGCGAAAGTGCGTCGAAGGTTTTTTTCGTGTTTGTGGGCGAGACGCTGCCTGCGGTTGGTTTAGGGGTGAAGGCTTTCTCCATGCCCTCCCAGGACCCTCTCCTATCCGCGGCGACGCCGCCACCCGCTCGCTATGACTTTGCCATCAATCTCCTCATGCTCATTTCCTTCATGGATGCGACGGAGTACTCGGTGCGTGCCAGCGGCTAGTCGAATTGAGCTGCCCGCACTCATGTGCACACTTCTGCTCGCCCGTCCCTGCTCAGGTTGTGATGCCGTCCTTATGGAACTACTTGAACGAGGTCGAGCCCTCCGACACGCGCCACGGCCTCGCAAACGAGTACGGCATCGTGATCGCCTCCTTCTCCCTCGCGAGTCTGCTCCTCAAGCCGCTCGTCGGCATCTGGTGCGACCAGCGCAGCTTCAAGGAGGTGTACGCGGTGACGCTGCTCGCCGCCGCGGCAGGAAACGCGCTCTACGCCTTCGCCGGGCTAGGCGGGAGCTGGCTCTTCATGCTCGCTGGCAGGCTGCTCTCTGGTGCGGGAGCAGCGAACTCGTCCCTCTCCTTTGCCTATGTCTCGCGCACCGTCGAGCCCTCGAGCCGCACGGGCACCATGGCCAAGCTCTCCCTCGCCTTCCCTCTCGGGATGGTGGTCGGGCCCGCCTTCAACGCGCTCCTGTCTGGACCCTTCCATGACCTCTCCTCTGGAACCTTCATAGGTGGTCGGGCCCGCCTTCAACGCGCTCCTGTCTGGACCCTTCCATGACCTCTCCTCTGGAACCTTCATAGGTGGTCGGGCCCGCCTTCAACGCGCTCCTGTCTGGACCCTTCCATGACCTCTCCTCTGGAACCTTCATAGGTGGTCGGGCCCGCCTTCAACGCGCTCCTGTCTGGACCCTTCCATGACCTCTCCTCTGGAACCTTCATAGGTGGTCGGGCCCGCCTTCAACGCGCTCCTCGCGCAGCTACACGCGACCCTGCCCCTGCCGGGCGGCGCGACGCTGCGCGTCAACCCAAACAACTCTCCCGGCCTGCTCATGGCCGCCCTCGTGCTCCTCCAGCTGGTCGCGCTGCTCACTCTCCTGCCGGAGCCGCCGCCGTACACCTCCGACCCCGCTGCGCCCCCGGGCCGAAAGTGCGACGCAGCCAAGGGCGTGCTGCGAGAGCTGCGATCGCTGCCCGTGCTCGCATGCTTCACCGCGACCTTCACCTTCAACCTCACGATCGCCACCAGCGAGGCGCTCGTCGTCCCGGTCACAAAGGCCGCCTTCGGCTTCTCGGCGCTGCAAAACTCGTTCGTCTACCTCGCCATCGCCGTGCTGATGATCGGGCTCAACCTCGCCGTGATGCGCGTCTCGCGCCACCCGCTCGCGCCGATCCGAGCCCTGCGCAAGCGGCTGCTCGACGCAGCGGCAGAGGGGCACGCGGCCGAGGCGCGGCGAGATGTGTGGCCGAGAGGAGGCCGAGAGGAGGCCGAGAGGAGGCCGAGAGGAGGCCGAGAGGAGGCCGAGAGGAGGCCGAGAGGAGGCCGAGAGGAGGCCGAGGCGCCCCGCAGCCACAAGGCCAAGCCCCAGGTAGCTCGTTCAAGGTAGTCCACTCCCCAGGTACCTCGACTCGAGGCCTCTAGCTTGTGCCGCCCGAGCGGCGTCCCCCGCCCAAGGGTTCGGGTGGGCCCACGCATCCCGCCCCCTCCCCCGCCCCAGGCGCTCGAGCTCGAGCGCGGTCTGGTCTCGCTCCTCGCCTCCTCGCCCGCCTCGGCCGACGCCACCGCCGCGTGGTCAACACGCGCAGCCAGGCTCGCGGCAAACCTCGAGGCCGACGAGGCGGTCGGCCGCAGCGACGTCAAGGCGCTCGAGCGTTTCGTGGCGCGACCGCCTCGCCGCGCCGCGCCGCTGCTGACCGACCGGCGCGCCTCGCCTCTCGCGCACCCCCGCGCCCCGCGCCGGCGACGCGCCTTGCGGAGCTCGTGCCCCGCAGGCGGATGGTCCTGTTCTCGTGCTGCTGCTACGAGTGCGGCGTCGCGTACGTGCTGCTCGTCTGGCGGTACGACATGCCGCTGTACGCCTTCCTGCTCGGCGAGCTGCTCCTGCTTTGGAACATCCCCTTCGTCTTTGCGCCGAACCGCTCCGTCTTCTCGAAGCTCGTCGAGGGCTCGAAGCACCAGGCGCTCCTCTCCTCCCTCCTCTCGATCGCAGCATCCGCCGGAGGGGTGGTCGGGCCGATCTGGCTCGGCGCCTCCGTCGGCGAGCCGTCCATCCGCCGCACGAGCCGCGGGGAGGAGGAGTACGGGCCCGTCGCGCAAGTCACCTTTGTCGGCCTCGCCGGCTGCGTCCTCCTCTGCGCAACAGTCTACGCCGCGGCGGGCTGCCGCTTCGGGCGCGACGCCGCCGCCACCGTCGAGCCGCTCCACGCCGTGAGCCGCGGCGCGCACGACGATGTGGACGCCGCCGCCGTGCCGGGGGCCGAGACGGGCGGGGCGTAGGCCGTAGCGAGGACGAGAGGAGAGGCTCTGTGCACAGACGTACGTAGGACCCGGCTATGTGGCTGCAACTTTCACTGTCCGTGGTGTTCATTATGTTGCTATTACGTTTTACACGCAGTGGAGGATCCCGACCGGCCCGTCGAAGTCGAAACCCGAGCTGCGAGTTTTTTTTGCGCGGGTCATATCCCATTTCTTTTTTACACACCGCTCGGCTCGTTGTGCGAGTATATGGGCCACGATGTCTCAAATATGAGGGGTTTTGACTACTACCAGCTCCTGACGCTATCCCTGGCAGCTCTAATGGCCAGGATCAGTAGTGTTGTGATAGAGGGTGCCCATACTAGCGCAGGAGCTGCCACACTCGCCCGGACCGTCCCCTTCTGGGGCCGGTTCCGCAGCCCGCGAGAGCCGACCGCGGGGCTGTGCCGCGGGTGCCTACTGCCGAGTGCCACAAACACTGCGCCGTCCCGCCATCACCTACAGGCTGTCTTGTGTGATGGTTGGGATGTCCAAACGCCACCATCTTGGCTCTTGCGACCTCAAACCCGCGAGCTGTATGGGTGGTCCTGACGTCGACAGACGCCCGATGACCACGGTGAAGCTGAGCCGGAACGCGTCGACAAGTCTCGTCTGAGCCCGTGGCGGTCGCCGGCTGAGTCGCCGTACACGGGCCGGTACCTCAGGCGTCACCTCCGCAGCCTCAGGTCTCACACTCCATCACCTCCGCCGGGACGCCGTCGGTGGCACGCTCGGCGGCGACTTTGTGGCAGCCCCACAGCGAGCGCGGCATCGAGCCTGTTCGGTCTGGTCGGTTCGCGGCACTCACTGGGTGCCAGGGAGTGCCGCCGACACGCGAGCGGTGCTTCCTGGCGGCGCGCGCCGGCTGTGGGGCTGCCACAAACTCGAGACACGCTTTTTGGGACATTTTCGACGCTTTTGGCCCATATACTCGCACAACATGCCGCTCACCGGCCGCGTCCGCGCCCGGGAGATGATGCAACACATGCCATAGGAGGGCGGTCGGCCTTACGCTCGCTGTGCGCTGCTCTTAATAATTATATTATTATTTGCTTTGCTTGCGCACAGCCACACAAACAAATTCGACGGCGTCAGCAAGTCGCTCATCTACTCGCCCGAGGGCGACCTCTCGTGCGCTCCGGGCTGGCTCCGGGGCTCGCCGGCGCACCGCGACAAGGAGGGCAAACCCACGGGGCGAGTGGACTGCTTCAAGGCCGTCGGCACCTTCTTTGGCGACCCGGAAGCCTGCAAGAAGGAGCTCACCGCGCACCTCAGGAAGAAGCTCGCGCCGCTCGACGTCATCGACACGATCGTCGACACTGACTGCGTCACCAACACCTCGCAGCTCCGCCTCAACCTCGTCCAACGGATTGCCTGCGCAAAGACCAAGTACATTGCCGGCATCACGCCGCCCAATGTCGCGTGCGACGCTCTCGAGTTTGCGCACAACCGCATCCGCAAGTCCTTTGAGAGCATTGCTCGCGCCGACGCCTCGCCCCAGGCGCTCCGCGACCTCGCGTGGCTCCAGGCGCAGCTGCCGACCGAGATGGGCGGGTGCAACATCGACACCGCCTTCACGCGAGCCGACAGCGACTTCTCCATGTCGCTCCTCAAGAACTGGCGCACCCTCGTCGCCCACAACCCCGACTTCGCCCTCGACGAGGGAGGTGCGTCCAAGTACCCCACCATCGCCGCAGCCATCGCCACCTACGAGTCCGCCCTCTCGGACTGGAAGGAGGTGTGCGAGAAGCGCGCCGCCCGCGACAAAACCAAGTACTACACCGTCCGCGGCGGCTACCTGACTGAGTTCTACCCCAAGAGCGTCCCGCTCCCCGAGCCCGAGTCCCTTCCAGCTACCGACGCGATTCTCAATGGCACTTGCAAATCCACGTACCCGCGGCCGCGGGCGCTCGCTGCCATCAAGAATCACAAGGACTGGTACGCGCACCAGGAGCTCGTCAAGGCGCGGGACGTGCACGTCAAGAACAACCCGTCCCTCGGAGACAGCGCCGTCAACAACCGCGAAGCCTCGCGCTTCGTCTCCGCCTCAACGCCTTTCGCCGGCAAAGCCTTCGATGTCCGTGTCGACGGTACGTACGCCACCGCCCTCTCCTCCGACACCCTCCAGGACGAGCTCCAGCGGAAGCTCGGCCTTTGGCTCTCCGTGGCGCTTCCCACCCTTCGGGTCGCGCTCGAGCGGGGCATGCCAGTCGATTTCTTCGGCGACTACCTTTACAACAAGGCCCACCACCGGCGGCCCCACGACGGCGTCCTCGCCGCCTGGGCGGACGCGATGCGCGCCCCGGCCAACGCGCCGGTCGTGCACGGTGACAAGGAGAAACCAGAGCTCACCCGGCAGTACAACGAGGGGTACAAGGTCGACCTCGCGGAACCCCACGCTGGCCCGGGAGGATGCGATGAGGTGAATGAAGTCAAGCTCTGGACGCCCCTCCTCAAGACCTCCTCGGCGGGCGTTGGCAACGCCTCGAGTGGCGGCACGCCCGCCTCCGTTGGCCACTCCTACGCCTTCGGCAACACCGAAGAGAAGGCCCGCCGCCTAAACATGGGCTGCAAGGCGCGCGGGCAGCCCGGCCAACCCTTCGACCACAAGAACGGCCACGGCTACGTCAAGGCGCATCGCGGTTTCTACCACGACGCGATCTTTGTCAAGCGCAATAACTTCAACCTGCTGCTCCACGAGACGTTCGGCGGCGGCTTCTCGCCCACCGCCGTTCTCAAGCTGCGCCGCCTCGCGCGCAAAGCCGCGCGCGGCAGCGTCGACCGCACGGCCTACTCGCCCAAGTACTCGCTTTCTTTTATGTCCCACCATGCAGAGCGCATCTCTCTCTCTGTTGTGCGAGGCGTGAACCGCGCCATTCGCTCTCACCTGGCAACCCTGTCTGCACGTCTCGCGCGCGCGTGAACAGGGCTCCAGGCCCCAAATGACGTGTGAGTGTTAGAGTTGTTTGGTATTGCTAAAAATCTCTCTCTCAGCCACACCTACTCCTAGGGGGTACATCGCCTAGCATCGCCGGGAGAATGCTTCGAGGCGAGCTTGTTGTGCCCTAGCGCCTAGGTTGTGCCTGGCTGGCAGTGCCTGCCGTGATGGGCGTATCGCGTGGCCGAGACGTGAACGAGCTGAAGCTGTTCATTGCTGCGGCACAAAAAGAAAGAAAGAAAGCAGACAACCCAAGGGAGGGATGGGAGGACGGCACGCCGCCACCACACAGGGATTTTAAGGAGAGGTGTGTGGTGCGCTATCCGTCGCCCACCCTAGGGATGGGCACAAGCGGGCCATTGCAACGCGCGCGAATTCTTTTTATCAGTCCTGCTGATAGGAAGAGGTCGCCCACCACCCCCGCTTGGCTCGGTGCGCTGCCTCTAGCTACATTCCCTCGACTGCCTGCATTTGGAAGTGTGCCTTTGCCACGCGCCTTTGGCCGGCGTTGCCTGCCTAGCTCGTCTCTCTTTCTCCGTTCTCGACTGTCGAGCGGGCTAGGAGGACCTGACTGGCGGGGTACATCTGTGGAGCAGGCGACTTCTTGTCGGATATCGGTTCGCACCGCTCATGTCGCGCCACGGAGACATCTCGTCCAGCCCAGACACGGTCGGGACTTGCGTCTTCCAGTACAAGATGCCGCGCCTCCACACGCATGAGGAGGTGATGGGACGAGCGCGAGAGAGCCGGCGAGATAGCACCGTCTCCTGAGCTGATGCCCTGCCTCGTGCGCCGTGTACACAGGTGATGGCCAACGTGCGCAAGATCTGCGAGGTCGTGAAGGGTACAAAGCAGGGCCCCGGGCATGGACCTGATCATCTTCCCAGAGTACTCGACCCAGGGCATCATGTACGACAAGGAGGAGATGATGGCGACCGCCACCACCATCCCCGGGCCCGAGACGGACGCCTTTGGAGAGGCGTGCAAGCAGGCCGGCGTCTGGGGCGTCTTTTCCCTCACCGGAGAGCGGCACGAGGAGCACCGCGCAAGCACCCGCGCCCCACACTGCCCAAACCCAACCCTAACCCTGACCGCAGCCCACCACACAGGAGCACCCGCGCAAGCACCCGTACAACACGCTCGTGCTCGTCAACGACAAGGGAGAGGTCGTCCAAAAGTACCGCAAGATCCTCCCGTGGTGCCCCATCGAGGGCTGGTGCGCTAACCCTCACCCTCACCCTTCCCTCACCCTCACCCTCACCCTCACCCATCGAGGGCTGGTGTGTGTGTGTGCGCGCGCCTCCCGGCACCGCTCCCCTCGCTGCCCGCCCCGACGCTAGGCCTGACCCTGCATACCCTCGCCAGGTACCCGGGCGACACGACGCACGTGAGCGTCGGCCCCGAAGGGGCTCAAGATCCGAGGTGTGCCCGAGGTGCACCCGAGATGCCTCTGGCACGGTAGGTGAGCGTCGGCCCGAAGGGGCTCAAGATCTCGCTCATCATCTGCGACGACGGCAACTACCCCGAGATCTGGCGCGACTGCGCGATGAAGGGCGCCGAGCTTGTCGTCCGCTGCCAGGGGTACATGTACCCCGCCAAGGAGCAGCAGGCGAGCGACCGCGCGGCAGCAACGGTACCCCACCCCCGCCTCCCCCACCCCTCCCTCTTCCTCCGGCCAGGTCCTCGTCGCGAAGTGCATGGCCTGGATGAACAATGTCTACGTCGCCGTCGCAAACGCCGCCGGGAACGACGGCGTCCGCACACACGCTTTTGCCCTCTCCTCCACCCCAGGTCTGTTCACACCCCAGGTCTGTTCACGACACGTCCACGGCACGTCCCCGGCTCCAGGCGTCTACACATACTTCGGCCACTCCGCCATCGTCGGGGCGGACGGACGGTCGCTCGGCGAGTGCGGCACTTGCCCCGACGAGATGCAGTGCGCCTCCCCATATCTCCCCATATCTCCCCACATCTGCCCCGACGAGATGCAATGCGCCTCCCCATATCTCCCCATATCTCCCCACATCTGCCCCGACGAGATGCAATGCGCCTCCCCATATCTCCCCATATCTCCCCACATCTGCCCCGACGAGATGCAGTGCGCCTCCCCATATCTCCCCATATCTCCCCACATCTGCCCCGACGAGATGCAATGCGCCTGCCCCCGCCACCGCCCCGCCGCCCGTCCACCGCCCCTCCCCTCGCCCCTCCCTCGCCCCCCCGCCTCGCCCCTTCCCTCGCTCCTCGCCACACGCCCGCCGCCGGCCGCAGGTACGCGCAGCTCTCCATCTCCGGCATCCGCGACGCGCGGGAGACGGACCAGGCGCAGAACCACCTCTTCAAGCTGCTGCACCGCGGCTACACGGGGGTGTACAACTCTGGCGACGGCGACAAGGGCGTGGCGACCTGCCCCTTCCAGTTCTACAAGACGTGGGTCGAGAACCCGCTCCTCGCGCAGCAGCAGGTCGAGGCAATCACCCGCCCGACCATCGGGGTGGAGTGCTGCCCCGTCGCGGGCGTGCCAAAGCCGGAAGAGAGCCTCGACCCCCTCGTCAACGAGCTCTCCCTCTCGTGACGAAGGACGCCCGCACTCGCGCGCGCTCACGTGTGGCAGGGACCAGCGTGGCAGAGGAGAGCGCAAGCCGAGGAGGCGGCGGCGACTGGCTTAAGGCGACCGCCGACCGGACGACTGGCCCTGTCTCGTGGCCTTGCTCTGTTCAGGCCGCGCGGCCGCGCCGTTCGGGTATTTTTCGGGCGCACGGCCCCCTGTGCCCTGAGCCGTGTGGCCTCGTCCACTCGATGACCCACCACTCACCAGGGCTCAGCCTGTGCCCTGACGGCACAGCGATTGTACATTGTTTTCTGTATTCTTATTAGATCTAGCTATACAATGGGTACGCGGACACCGTGTTGCGAGAGTCGTCTCATCATCTGCTGGCGCTGGCCGGGAGCTTGGCCTGCGCCTCAAATGTGCCCACCGGCGCGAGCTTGTTTGGCTCGCTGCGTTTGGCTGCCCGAATGATGCCGCGCGCCTTGACGGTGCCGCCGGGGCGCGCAGCTTCGACCCGCGAGGCCGAGTACAGCACCGTGCTTCTCTCGTAGTCCAGCGCCCAGCCAAAGGTTGGCGCGTCGCCCGTGTAGACCGCCCGCCACGCACCGCTGCCCGTGTCGAAGCAAGGGCTGCTCACAGTCACGCGGCCCTCGTCCGCTCCCGGTGGGTCCTGCGTGAAGACCGCCCGAGCCATGCAGAGGTTGCCGGCCCGCGTTTTTTTTAGCTCCCCCGTGCCCGGGATGCCCAACAGGCTCGAGTTGGCCCCGGCGGAGTTTTCGACAAAAGGGGGGGCCGCCCCCGCAACCGCTCGCGCTGGGGATGGAACCACCATGTTTTTAGGTGCGCGGCGTGGTTGCAGCCCGGTCGGGGTACCCCCAGGCCCCCCCCCCCCCCCCCACCCACCCACCCACCCCCACCCCCCTCCCCAATGGAGGGTTCGATTGCCCGGATGGGAGGGGGGGGAGCTTACTCGGAGACGCGGCGTGAATCAGACGCACTTGCCTTCCCAATCCCGCAGGGAGGGCGTGCTTGTTAACGGTTTGAGGCAACCGACATTAGAGAAAAGAAAACTGGGTCCGCGTACCACGACGCCGGCACGCCCCCCGGCACGACCCGCAGCTGGCTACACAGCTGGCTCAACGCTGCCGCTACTACTGCCGCTGCTGCTGCCGCTGCTGCTGCCACTGCTGCCATCTAGCACAACCATGACGCTCTGCGGCCGCTGCTCGACTCCGCTCTCCCACGTGACCGCCCCGGACCACGACTGCTGCTGCGACGGCCCGTGCGGAGCCGACATCCCGATCGGCGCGCCGATGCTGGCGTGTCCCGGGTGTGAGGCCGGCGACGGCTGGTACCTGTGCAAGCGCTGCTGTGACCAGCCGCCGCACGGCGAGCCGCAGGAGCTGGACGAGCTCATCGACGACCTCATTTTTGCCGCCCGTGCAGGCGACACTGACGAGGTCCGGGCTGCGCTGGCCAGCGGCGCGCCGATCGACGGCCGTGACGCTAACCGCTCGACGGCGCTGATGATGGCCGCCGCGAACGGGCACGCCGACGCGCTGCGCGAGCTCATGGGCGCTGGTGCCGACGTGAACGCAATCAACTCGCTCGGCAACACCGCCCTGCACTGGGCTGTCTTCACGTCAAAGCTCGCGGCGGTTGAGGTGCTCCTCGCAAGCGGTGGCTGCGACTTGATGCTACGCAACGCGGCCGGCAACACGGCGGCGATGGACGCGGAGCGGGCGGGCAAGGGCGACCTGGTGGTGGCGCTCCTCGAGTCGCTCGACGAGGATGCGGCGGCCGCCGCGCTCGGCATCGAGGAGGAGGAGGGCGAGGAGGAGGTGGTGGCGAGCCGCTTGGTCCCGGCCGAGATCGTGCCGAGGCTGGAGGAGGTTTGCATCTCGAGCGGCGCCGATGCGGCCGCGGCGCCGTGCGCAGGAGGAGCGTGCTCGGCGGACGCCGCTGCGCCGCCGATTGTCTTGCGGGAGCGGCCCCCCGAGCCAAATGGCGCGGTGGCGGCGCGAGTGGCGGCTGCGGTGGAGAGCCGCACGGGCGACAGCCGCTACTCGGTGCTGCCTGCGGTGGTGGAGAGGGAGGAGGTGCTCGGCTTGTCGCGAGACTTCTTCCAGGCCACCTCGCTGCTGACCAAGGACGGCAACACCTTTGGGCCAGACTTTGAGCAGCAGTACTCTGGCCACAAGAACTACTTTTACTACGTTAACCGCAACAAGGTGCTAAACGGCGCCGAGGTCGCGGCGGCGACTTTCGAGCGGCTCGACGCGGCGTGCAGGCTGGTGGTGGAGCAGCACCACCCCGGCGTGCGCGTCAAGCTCGAGCGAGCCTTCGGCGCCTACTACGAGGGGGAGCGAGACGGCTTCCACCGCGGCGTCAACGAGCACTGCGACGGAGAGGCGAACCTCGTCTCGACGGTCGTCCACGCGGTGCTGCCGGACGGAGAGGTTGGCTTCGAGAGCGGCGGCGAGCTCACCGTCGCGGCGAGCGGAGGGCTGCCGCCGGTGGCGATCCCCCACTCCAACGACACGGTCGGCACCGTCGTCTACCTCGGGGCAGGCGTCTACCACCACGCCACGCCCATCCAGGAGGGAGGGAGGAGGCTCGTCTTCTGCCTATTCTACGCCGCCGCGCCGGAGAAGGATCTGACCAAGCATGCCCTGGCGTGAGACTGCTGAGTGCTGTGTTCTTGGCCGCCCCTTAATCCCCACGCACTCGGCTCACATTCCACTCGCACAGGAAACGCGCGACGGCCCGTGCCCGTGCCCGTCCTGTGACTCCTGTGTGTGCGGCGTTGTGTGCGGAGTGCGCTGCGCGTGACGTGTGAGCCTGTGTAAGCGTGTGACACCACGCCACCAGGGTCCTGGCGCTCGGAGCTCTGAGTACGACTCCTACTCGCTCTCTCGACTCTCTGCACTCTGGACTCTGCCGAGGAGAGGACAGGGTGGGATCACGAAATACAAGACTCCGTCGAATACACGACGTGCAAAACATAAATCACACACCGAATTCAGCGTCCAACGAATCGTCCTCGCTCGAACTGCCCACGTCAGACCGTGACGTCGCCGCGCCAGGCGGCTCCTCGACTAGCTCGTCCCGTGGCTGCGCGCCTCTCCTGGCACGCTCGCAGCGCTTCACCGGGACGTACACGAGCCAGAACCAGAGCTGCAGCGCGATGAGGATGGCGGCGAGCGCGTAGAGCAGCCGCTGCGTGTGGTAGTGCGTGTAGTGGCCCTTGCGGTCGGCGCCCCAGTCGCTGAAGTAGAAGCTGGAGAGCTGCGAGGCGCCCGTCGAGACGAAGGTCATAAAGAGCTTGCTCAGCCCGCCCGCGAGGCCGCTCATGTCGCGAAAGTCCTGCAGGACGAGCACCTGCCGCGCGCCGGAGCCACCGGACTCGGCGAGTGAGGGCGATGGGGCGAGCGTGCGAAGAGGCTGCATCGCCGGCAGCACCGGGACGAGATAGCCGAGATCTGGCCGAGATCTGGCCGAGATCTGGCCTGCATCGCAGGCAGCGCGAAGAAGCCGACGCCGGAGATGAGGGCGCACGGGATGGTGGTCATGTACCAGCGCGGCCGCGCGTAGAGGCAGTCGACACAGCCAGGAAGTCCGGCGCTGAGCAGCAGGAAGGCGGGCGGGACCACGCCCGCAACCATGCCCGCCGCAACCAGCCTGGCCGGCGAGGTCTTTGCTGCGATCCTCGCGACGAGCAGCGATGCGAGCAGCCCGGTGAGCGGGGGGACGGAGATGAGGACGCCTCCGACGGTGGTGGAGAGCTCGTAGTAGTGGGTGTAGACAAAGGAGATGCTCGAGAGCATCGCACGCACCTGCATCGCACCCCCGGCCGTGAGCGCGGTGTGGGCAAGCGCTTCGGCAGGGCGGGCGCGCGTCAGTCTCGCGCCGCGCCCATGTTGATCGCCGCGGCGACCGTCAGTCCGACAAAGTCGACGTTGGAGTACATGCGGCGCAGCTTGGACCAGGTGAGGCAGCTTGGACAGGCGGGCCGGGGAGGAGGGGAGGCGGAAGGAGGCGGGGAGGCGGAAGGAGGCGGGGAGGCGGAAGGAGGCGGGGAGGCGGCAGGAGGCGGGGAGGCCGCCTCCGCCTCGCCGGGGGCGGCGCCTGCCGAGGGAGGGTTGGCCGGAGGCGGGCCGGGCTGCTGCGCGGCCGCGGCGAGGACCGCCGCATTCGACTCTGGGATAAAGTACATGAGGAGGATGGTGAGGCCGCCCCAGCAAGAGAGGCCCTTCATCAGATTCCGCCATCCGAAGGCGGTGCCGATGAAGCCGCCGACGCTCGGCCTGAGTACAGCGGCCAGCGAGGTGAGCACGTGTCGCCTAGTCCGTACGAGTGGAGTCGACTGCTCGGGTGCGACTCACCCCCCGAGCAGCATGAGCGGCCGCATCGTCGTGAAGTAGGCTTGCACTCGCATCCGGCGCTGCTTGTCGTCGACCACGTCGCGGATGATGGCAGAGGTGATGATCGAGACGGACTCGCCCACGCCCTGCACGCACCGCGCGGCGAGCAGCCATCCGATCGTCGGCGCGAGCGCACTGCCCACGGCGCCCACCACGTAGACGAGCAGCGTCGAGCAGATGACGACCTTGCGGCCGTACACGTCGGAGAGATAGCCGACGATCGGTGTGGCGAAGCCGAGCATGTACCAGTTGACCTGGATGGTGAGGCTCACCTCCTGGTCCGTGGCCTTCAGGTCGTCGACCACGTCGGACAGATTCGGGATGTAGCAGTCGGAGGAGAATGCGCCGATGCAGTTGAGCAGCAGCAGTACGACGTAGTGGCCGGCGTGGAGCAGTGGGGCGGACGGTGGCGGAGGCTTGCAGGCAGCGGAAGCGGCAGCACCATTGGCATCGCCCTCCAATGGCCCCGGGGCCAGCGACTGCCCGTCGGACACAAGGCTGCGGCGATCAGAGGACGGCTCAACTGCGAGCCTCAGTGGTGGCGTCACTCCAGGAAACGCAGGCGAGCCGGCGCCAGGCACTTCCGAGCGCCGAGAGGCCTCGGCGAGGAGGGCGACGCGAGCGCTACTAGCAGCGCTTGCTGACATATATCGAAAAAAAGAAATCGCTCGCGCTTGGCCTTTTGTTTATTTTTTCTTTCTTTCTCCAAGTGCTCCAAGATAAGACTCGACGCACTCCTCTCGCACAACCACACTGCTCGCACTGGGTTCTCCCATGGCCTCCGTTGTGGCTTCCGGTTGTGGAGCACTTGGAGCACTTGGAGTGCAGTCATTAGCCTCACATCCAGGGCCGGGGAGCTAAGGAGCGCACCCAGCGGGCCGGATGATCGGGATCGGGTTGCGGGCAAGAGAGCCCTAGCCCCGGGGGTGCGCGTTCGCAGGGCAAGGGGGCCTTAAAAGTAAACGGTTTTCCTTCTTTTTTCGTACCACTGGGCGCGGGACGGAGAGAAAGCCGCGATCTTCGTTGTCCCACCTCCAGAGGGGGGGGGGGGGTGAGAGAGAGTTTCACATCACGCTAGTGCGCGCAGACACCACGACCAGCCCCTGTCCCTCGGGTACGGTGCCGTTTGCCCGCGCAGGCAACGGGCTCGGACTCCTGGCGCTGGGCTTCTGGAATGACGTCTTCATTCGCACCCACTGCTTGAGGAAGGCGGCGGGAATAGCGTCGCTCGGGTCAGCAAAGCTGTGGCACAGGCTGAGGTGGCTGTGGCTCCGCGGCAGCGGCGCATCCCGGTCGCAGTATGGCTTGCGCCGTTCGAACCTCCCGTACCGTGTCCACTGGAGGCAAAGCAGGAAGGAATGTTGGCGGCTGAGGCCCCACGTCCGCGGCAGGTCGGAGTACCGCTTTAAGTAGCACTCCCAGTCAGTGCGCGAGGGCAGCGCACTCGCGTTGGCGGCCACGTTCGAAAGGTTGAGGCGCACCACGGCCTGCCCCAGCAGCCCCAGCGACACGAGGCGGCCGATCGAGCGCTCTGTCGCGGTCGGGGCGCGCTTCCGTTGGACGGCTCGCCACGGGCGCTCCGCGCCCGTGGGAAAGTTGTGCAGGCGCAGCGATACGCCGCACTGGTTTGCCAGAGCATTAATATCGTGCTCTCGCAGTGGGGTTGACTCCCCTCCATGTTGCAGCCTGCCTCTTACGATCCTCTTCCCGCAGCAGTGTGCAGGAGGCGAGATCCTAGAGCACATGTCGTTTAGGCCCATGAGCTTGTTGCCGGCCCCGTAAGCGATGCCCTCTGGGAAGGTGTAGTTCAGCGTGTTGCGCACTACCAGCTGCGGCTCGCTCACCATCCGGAGGTGGGCGGGCAGCAGGCCAACGACGTCACTCACCTTCAGCTCGGCGCGTAGCTTGCTAGCGGCGTCGGGCGTGGGGATGCGGATCATCGGGAGCAGGGCAGCAGGGAGGCCTTGTGTGTCCGACTCTTTAAGCACGCGTATCAGCTGGGTCCACATCTGCGCCGTGAGGAACTGGTTCGAGTCGGACGGCCAGATCCACCTCGAGCCGTCGGCCGACCCGACGCCGACAGCCTGGTTGCGCGCACCGTTCTGGTCCGTGACGTAGTTCACGGCAGACCTCACTTCGGGGCCAAATGCCGCGATTCTCCTGGGGTCGACCGAGCGTTTGACCACGCGCGCCCCCGCCAGACAGAGCTCTTGCTCGAGCCGCGCCTGCTCTGTCTGGTTGAAGATGTTGTTGAGCAGGTAGGTGACGCGGACGCGGGGAGGCACTACCTCGTACCTCGCTGCGAAGAGGGCATTCAGCCGGGTCTGGCCCGGAGCATGCACTGGCGGCATGTCGTTCCCGAGGATGCGGACGACGTGAAGGAACGGCGGCTCTGGCACTGAGGCGTTCGCAAAAGCTGAGCGAGTGGTACGAGGCGTTTGGCTGGACGGGTCGTCGCCGCAGGAGTGAGCAAGCTGAGCGATGGAGCGGAGCGGAGGCCTGCTCGTTGGGCGCCACACCAGCCGCTTCCCTGTTCGGCTGTGTCCGCCGGTGGTGCGATTGCGCACTGGGGCGCCTGGATCTGGCCCCCTGACCCTGTCGGCATTCCATTGGAAGGGACACCTCCCGTTGCGAGCGAGTTTAGTCGCAAGTTGATCGGTACTCTCAGTGAGGCGGCGGCCGCCCGCGAGCGCTTTCCATCCCTCTCTGGCCTGTGGCCTACAGCTGAAGCCACGCCGGCAGCGAATGCTGCCCTGCTCTGCTGCGATTTGGGCGGTGTGAGAAGCGAGCCACCTCGAGACCGCCGAGAGGTTGGCGACGAGGATGCCAAAGGTCGAATCGAGCCAGGCAGCTCGGCCCGGGGTGAGGTCCACCGTAGCGGGCAGGAGCGTGATTCCACTGTTGCTCGACACCGAGCTCGTCCGAAACAAGCCGGCGACGTTGCCGGCGATCGCGGTAGAGACGCTCGGTCGGAACTTGCAAGGGGTGACCGGCATGGAGACGTGATTGCCCACATATGGAGACTTGGACATGGTGTTGCACGACGCACGCGTGGTGGCCGACAGGCAGTAGGCCGTGTTCTCCCAGCCCAGGGACCCGTTGCCGCGTGGGTGCCACATGTAGGCACCAACCCAGCATGAGACATAGTTGTCGAGGTGGCCGGAGCTCTTGCCTCTGCACGGCAGCGAGCGCAGGGCGTGGCGCTGCAGCCTGTCAACCGCGGATTTCGAGAGGGCGTCGTCCGCATCGAGGCGTGTCGAGAGGACAACCGCTCGCCGCGCCGGCGCCGGGATCCACCTGCCGATCCTCTGCAGCTGCTGCTGAACCGGCAGGTAGTGCGGCTTGTCGAAAGGGGCAGCAACGCCGTCAGGGATCTCGACGAGAGAAAACCGGCCGTTCCCAGCCCCCTCGACGATCGCCCGTAGCTGGTTGCGCGCTGACAGAGGTAGCGTGCTGTCGTGGTAGACCAGCCACGTGAATCGGCAGCTGTGCTGAGCAGTCAGGCTGGCTCGTGTCACGGCGTCGAGCAGCATGAGGCGCAGATGCACAAGCGTGGAGAGGTTGCCTTGAGAGAGGGAGAAGCGCGTCACCACGAGGTGGAGCAAAGCCGTCGTGTTGTCCACAACGTGCCACGGCCCAGAACCACACGGCTCAGTGCCGGGGGTGAGGTCGAGGTAGCGGGCAGCTGCGGGAGGCGAGGACGCCATGCAGAAAGCGAGGCTGGACGCCCGCAGCAAGGCGCAGCCGCGCATCGGAGGTGCTCAGGTCGCAGAAGAATCGTGAATTAGACGAGTCGCAGCGAATCTGCGTGACGAGGGTGTGCCCGGCGAGGCTCACGATCTGCACCCTCAGGCCGGATGCGACGGGCGTTTTCGACCGTTGTGAATAGTTTCGCCGAAAAACGCTCCAAGTGCTCCAAGCTCAAGGCACCATCTGGTTCTGTTTTAGCTCGAACCTTGTGGATCAGGCGCCTGATCCATGAATCCCCCAAGCGCGTCCAAAATGAAAACGGTGCGCGCTGGTGTACTCTGCGCAGGTGTGCGCTCCCGGAGGCACTCTGGCGCGCTTGCCCCGCCCGCCCCGAGGCTCCGCGCGCTCCGCACGGTCCCTCTCCGCGACGCGTGCGCGCCGTCTGCGACGCGTCGCTCTGTCGCCACGCGTGTGGCTGGCGCGCCTCAGCTCACTTGCCATCCGTGCGCTTCCAGCCGAAGGGGAAATAAATCAGAGTTGAGAGAGAGAGATTTTTAAAGACCAACAAGAATTCACGACTTCACAGTTGAGCGCGTCGGAGAGGTCTTTCGAGACCGAGTGATCGAGGTCGCGCTTTCTTTATTTATTCGCGTGAATCGTGTCGTGCGCCCGCCTTTTCAGTGTATGTAGCTCTTACGAACATACCCGTAGGTGAACTGCTGACAGGGTTTTGTTGTAAAATTCTTTATTTAGTGTACCTGTGTTAGTGCCAAAAAGAAAGAAAGAAAACGGACAACCCAAGGGAGCGCAGTCCGTCTTCAAATTCTTTATTTATCGCTACCCCATGAGTAGACGTCGCCGCCTGGATTCACAGGAGCGGAACCCGTGCCGCAACACACTGCGTCGTCGGCGCTCCCTCGAGCGTCGCCACGCAAGTCGTCGAGCACCCTCGAGCGTCGCCACCGCGTGGCTAGATGGCTGCCACTAGCAGCGGCGAGGTCCTCTCGAACCTCGTTATGCGAGCCTCGCTGCACGACCCTCAGCAGCCTCCGACGCCGACGCCGACGCAACCTCAGCCCCGGCCGCTGCCGGAGCAGCCGTGGTACTACCAATTCACGCCAGACAATGTGCGTTGGGGCTCTGCTCTGCGAAAACTGCGGATCGGCGCTCACAACAGCCTCGGCTGGCGAGGTGGCGCGCCTTTGCCGACGCCGCCTGCCACCGACTGCTGGTTGCTTCCGGCGACCGATGACGCGGCTCTCGCTGTGGCGTCCGAGGCGCGTGCGCTGCGTGCCGCCGGCTGGCTGGTGCTGACGTGTTCGCCGGCCGTGTTGAATCGGCTGAGCGACAAGGCGGCGCTCGTCCGACATGCCGAGGCGCTGGGCGCCCGAGACGACCTTCCCGCCATCTACCCGACGCTGGCGTCTGCGAGGTGGCCTGCGGTTCTCAAGCGGGCTCGGGGTCAGTTCGGCAAGGGCGTCCACTTGGTGGGCTCGGGCGAGGAGGCTTACCGCCGCATGGGGATGAGCGAGGACGGGCTGGGGTCGCGCTGGGTCCTGCAGGAGGCGGTGGCTGGGCACGTCGAGTGCTCGGCCTCGCTGCTGGTCGTGCGCGGCGTGATTGTGCGCGTCCTGGTCGTCGAGTACACCTACGCCGAGAGCGCCTACGTCTGGCCGCACGTCAAGGAGGACAAGGCGGCGAGGAGGGCGCACGAGGATATGGCGCCGGAGCACCGTGCCGCGCTCTCGAGGCTGCTTGCAGGCTTCTCGGGGCTATGCAACGCAAACTACAAGATCCGCGCCGAGAGTGGGTGAGCTCCTTCCGCCGCAGCTAGCGTCGGTCCCTCGCCAATCTCTCTCTCTCCTGTGCAGGAGGCTCGCCCTCTTCGAGTTCAACACGCGGCCAGGCGGTGATCTCGCCGCCGACGCGCCGCGCCCCCTCGCCGCCGCCTTCCTCGAAGAGGGGCGACGCATCGCGCTGCAACACTGCGACGCCCGCACGGCAGCGCTCGGGCCTCCGCCGCGCAGCACGCCACCCACCGACTGCCCACAGCCCGAGGAGGCCGTGAGGGAAGTGGCGGGGGCGGGGGAGGCGTCCGAGCGGGCGGCGCAGGCGCCTGCCGAGGCGGAGGAGGAGGGGTGGGACACGGTGTACCTCTCGGCGTGCCGCGAGGAGGCGGCGCGCTACCCCTCTCCCCGCGATGCGCCAGGCTGGCTGCGGGGCGAACTCGGCAGGGCGGGCAGGCCTCCCTTCTTGCTCCGTGGCCACAGCTCTCCGGCGCTTCGCGTCGTCCTCCCTGCCGCCCACCCCGCCCGCCCCGGGGGCGGTCGGGTGGGGGAGGAGGGCGGCGGTCGCAGCGGGTGGCCGGCGGCGATCGTGTGCCCGGGCGGCGGCTACAAGACGCTCGCCCCGCACGAGGGCGGTCCCGCAGCCAGATGGCTCGCCTCGCTGGGCGTGGTCGCCCTCCTGCTTCGGTACAGGCTGCCTCCCGACCACCCGTGGCCAGCCGCGCGAGACGACCTGCTCGCCGCGCTCGACTACGCCTGCTCGGCCGAGGCGGCGAGGTGGCGCATCGACCCGAGCCGGCTGTCCGTCCTCGGCTTCTCCGCGGGCGCACACCTCGCCGCACACGGCCTCTCGGCCAGGCTGCGCGCCGCTGTCCTCGTCTACCCGGCCACGGCGGACGCCACCGGCGAGGCAGTGCGGACCACAGCGGCTGCCGCAGCGGAGGTTGCCCGCGGGTCGGCCTTGCCGCCAGTCTACCTCGTCTCGTCGACCAACGACCGCGTCTGCGGCGCCGAGGAGCACGGCGACAAGGTGCACGCGGAGCTGTGCACCCTCGGTGTCGAGTGCCACTACCAGCGCCAAAAGCTCGGCGCTCACGGATTCGGCGTCGCGCCGAGATGGACCACGCCTTGCGCCGCATGGCTGCTCGACAAGTTGAGGGACAGCCCGCAGGCATCGGCGCCCGCGGCGCAGCGGCACGATACCCATGTATGAGGCGCGCGCGCCCGGGGCCGGGCGCCCGGCACAGTTCGCGGTTTTCCCCCAAAGTATATATGTATGTACTGTGATCTCGTGATGTATGTGCATTAACAGAGAGTTACCTTTTAAAACGCCGTGGGAAGAAGAGCGACAACCGACACCGCACCCGGGTGTGGAACATACACACACACCGCATCTTCAGGCGGACGTTTGGACTTTGGTCTCCAGCGTCCAGGTGCTTTCTCACGTCTCACGATCTCGAATGAGGGCATCAGCGACAAGCACCTCTGCTTTGTGGAGAAGGTCCTTCGTCGCAGACGATGGACGGAGAAGGCACGGCGGATCAACAGCTTTGCTGCCAAAGCAAGGCTTGCTTATTGACCCGAGGCAGCAAGCTTTGGCGCCGCCGGGCTTGTCTCCGCAACCCTCTCCGCCGCAGACGCCGCATGCCTTTGGGCAGCACGCCGATCCGTCGCTCGCCGTGATGCCGCCGACTTGTCCGCACTCTCCCCTTTTTGACCGGGACGCCGGCGGGTGTAGCCACCGTAGCTGGTCTGGAGGGATTACCCGCCGTGCCCATCGCCACCAAAGGACATTGGGCACGCCGTCGCACGTGTGGTACTTCTTGAGCGTGCCGTCCGCAGCGAGGTCAGACTCGATGTCCGTCTTACCCACCTGCCACGGCTTTCTGCACCCGACCCAGTGGAAGAGCAGCGGCCAGCCCGAGCCTTTCTCATACGGACGGCGCTTCCACTGCATTTCCTGCCAGTCCCTCACGTGCGGGTGGGCGAGCATGTCCGCCCCGAGGAGTCGCACCCTCGCGGGCGGGATCATGTCGTTGAGCAGCGCTTGCTCCGTGCACAAGGCCGGCGCGAACTGGACGTCGCCTGCCCTCCGTTCGGGGGGTGGCTGCTGAGTTCGCTCGACCATGGCTGAGAACAGCTTCCGGGACGGTACAAGAGCCATGACGCCCGCATTGAAGCCTGTTTGCGAGTGGCCTTTCCGGCCGACCAGGATCACCTGTCTGGAGTCAACGGCGGCACGCGCCGATGGCAGCATCCCAAAGAGTACGTTGACCGGGCCTGTTACGATGGCATCAACGTCAAAGTACACCACCTTGTCGTACTCGAGCATGTTCCAGAGGTGAAGCTTGCTCATCATCAGGCCCCACCGAGTCTTCCGGTCTTCGTAGTCCGCCGACTCCTTCTTCTTCTCCGACTGACATTGCGAGTAGTTGCCCCCGTACCACGTGTCAGGGATCAATGGCACGGGGCGAACTTTGTAGCCGGACTTTTTCAGCTTCTCCCTCGTCTCGTTTGGGATCTTCTCCGTGACCAACGCCACGAACTCGCGAGAGGAGTCGAACATCTGCAGCGAGTGGCTCAGCACGGCAGCAGCGTACACGTACTCCGTGCTGGGGTAGGTGACTATCGTGGCGTACGCCTCTCTCCCCTTCGTGCGCGGCAGCACCGGCCAGTCCAACTGGCCATGTTGCGTGATTGCGCCGCTGTTTCTGCCGGCCACCTCGCCCGGGATGGCCGGCTGCTTGGCGATGGCGGCGTTTAGCATCGAAGTGATTAGCCCCTCTTCCTTTTCGGATTTGGAGCCAGCGGGCAGCCACTCCTCTGCTCTGCGGTGAATTCTTGTGGTGTTTCTTGAGATCGGCACCCCGGCCTTGCTCAAGTCCTCGAGCATTCGCCTCAGCGTCGGCCAGGGCCGGTGCATGAGCTCCTCGTGAGCGACGCGCACTGTTGGCACACCGGCGCACGCCCTCGTGGCAGACGATTCGTAGACTGCCTGGATCCACGACCACTCTGCGACAGGTGGAAGGCAAGGCGTCGAGCTCGAATTACGTGTTGCCGTCCGAGGAATAGCAGGCGCGTGGGGGGGGGGGGGGGGGCGCACCTATCGCTGACAAGGCGCTGTCGCTCTCTGACGGCTCGCGCGGATATCTTGAGATGAGAGATTCCCCGAGCAGCGGCCCTTTGCGTGTGACGATCACGCAGAGTGGCGCCTTGAGCTCGCGCATCCACAGCGGGGCGGTGAGAGACAGCCGCGGGTCCTATGCATCACGCATCCTCTATGACTGACTGCGTCGGAGGTCGAGTGAGGGCGGGGCGACCCGGCGGCTCGCCTTCATGGCCCACGGCCGCATTCCGGTGGGCCCGTCCAGCAGGGAGACGACGCGGGCAATCTCATCATGGGCCGTTTTCGGCAGTGTCGCCAGAATCGCCTGCGGGTCGGTCCCATGGTGCACCCAGTCCGGGGCTCTGCTGTGGCGGTGGCTGCGTGCTGCGGCCGACTCCTCCAGAACGAGTCGGTTGAGCTTGTTGACGTCGAGTCGCTCAAAGTACTTGAGTGGGTTCGACTTTGACCAGGCCAGCTCAGAGTCCCCACCCAGGTAGAGACCCGCGTCCCGCAGCAGCTTGCTCACGATCGACGTGCCGCTGTGATGCATGCCCAAGACGACAACCTGCCGTGGCCGCTGAGCACCGCCGAGAGCAGCACGAGTCGGGATGCTGCGTGCACCGGGCTGGGTCTCACCGCCGCCGCCGGGCGCCGCCGAACGCGCTGCCGAGACGGCAAGCAGCCAGCTTGACCAAGACATCCCGCGACCCAACGGGCCGCGCCAGAGTGTCGACGGGCGCTTTGCAGGGTTACTGAGATACTCGGGTATGAGCGTGCACGGCGAACCAGTTTAGACCATGTTTAGACCCAGTTTAGACCACGGCTGAACACGAACCAGATTAGTCCTGTTTACGATAAACTGGGTCTAAACAGGGGTCGGCCTGGGTGGGGGACCCCATTAGACATACCAGGTTTAGACCCAATTTATCGTAAACAGGACTAATCTGGTTCGTGTTTAGCAGTGGTCTCGAAAGAAAGAAAGAAAACAGACAACCCAAGGGAGGGATGGGAGGACGGCACGCCGCCACCACACAGGGATTTTAAGGAGAGGTGAAGCTGAGGTGTGTGATGCGCTACAGTCTGTTTGTTGCGGGCATTAAGAAAACAGGATCCCGCGGCACGCCGCCGTTTCTAAGCCTTTCCACCCACCCCACCCACCCCACGCCGTGGTTTCTTAGCTTCGGCCGGCACCCCAGGTCAGCCGGGATCTAGGAATTTTTAGGTAAAATGACAATAAGGAAGCGCTGGACCGATGCGCCAGTCAGCAGTCTTGGGATGACAGGAAGACGCACACACCTCCATCCACACCGCCCAGAACACCGCAGACTTGGGCAAAATGACAAGTGCGCGCGCCGCAGGCGAAGAGAAAATTTGAGCGGGGCTCCTGTTCACACTCGTGTGTGGGCCCTTTCTTGGGGCCGCGCCGGCGGCGCGCCGTGGTTTCTTAGATTTTCGCGGAAATTGCTTGGTAGGGTTTCTTAATGGGACGCTTTCTTAATGCCCGCAACAGACTGTAGCCGTCGCCCACCCTAGGGAGTCTGCCTCTTCCTATCTCTCTTCGCAGTCTCTCGCCGCTTCTCGCTGCAACCTTCATGCCACCTCGCGGTCGTCCCACTCTCGTCGTTCTCTCCCTTGTCACTTCCTCCTCTGTCGCGTCGTTCTCTTCTGCCTCGTCCTGCGGCGCCGCCGCCTGCCGGTCCCTTGTTTTGGCCTGCACAAGCTTTTCCGGCAAACAAAAAGGAAAACAGAGGGTCCCCAGCACTTTGCGTTTCCGGAAATTTCCAGGGAAAACAGAGGGTGTTTGGTGCTCCATTCTGGAAACTCGCGAGTTTCCCTGAGTCTGAGAGCTGGTCTGGGGCAAAATCTGACGCAAAATTGAGGAAATCGGCACGATACCCAGGCGGTCGCAGGGTATTTTCCAGGTTTACCCGGGGGTTTCCAGGTATACCCGCAAAATATCCGGTATTTTGCCGATTTGGCTGATTTTGGGCCCAAACCAGCCTCAGACTCGGCTCAGAGCCCGGAAAATTTGATGGTTTCCCCGGGAAAATAGAGAGGAAAAGAGAGGGTGCTGTAGAGAAAAAATGAAAGGAAAAGAGACGGGGTGCGAGAGGAAAAGCTTGTTCAGCCTAACGCGCCTTGTTCTCGCGGCTTCTTTCTTTCGCCTTTCGGCGCAACTCCGTCCTCCTCGCGGCGTATCCTGGCCCCTCGAGTCTATCGAGCTCCCCTCGCGCAAGGACCACATTTCTGACTCCCAGTCCGATCATTTGCCTCCAAGCTGGTCTCGAGGCTTGATCCAAGAGGAGCACGCGTGGGGAAAATCTTTTTTGTCTGCGTCCCGCCACACGAGCGCGCGCGGCAGTCGCGAGGGCCCGCGTCTGCGCCAGCACCACACATGCGCGACGCGAGCAGGGCTGTGCGCTGGCGCTGGCTATGTCCGCTTCTGCTACTGCCGGCCGGCGCCGTCCGCATCGGCAGCAGAGGCACCTGCCGACAAATTCGGTCTCGGCCTGCTGCCATTTCACCGACGGCGGATGACGAGGCCCGCGATCCACGTGCAGCTCCGCCGTGGATCACGGAGAACCAGGCGCTGCTCGATGAGCTGCGCGCCGCATCGACGGCGGAGCCTAGGGCCGCCACCGCATCCACGTCGAGGCACGTCTCGCCGATCGTCAGCCTTGAGGCGCTCGAGGCGGCCATCGCGAGGGCCGACGCCGCCGGCCGCCTCGTCGCGGTAAAGTACTACAGCCCGCAGTGTCGTTCTTGCCTGCAGATTAAGCCGCTCTACGAGAGGGCCGCCGAGGGTGCCTTTGGCGAGCAGGTCGACTTCTACGAGGTCGACAGTTTCTGCGCGAGAGTGCTGTGCAGCCTCGCCAACATGCGCCTTCTGCCGACGGTGCAGGTCTACGGCCGAGGCGCGCTCCTCGATGCTCGCACCGTCAACAACAAGGTGCTCTACCTCGAGTTCGAGGCGGCGCTGGCGAAGGCGGTGCTCAGTCATTGCACGTTCTCGGTAGCGGGCGAGGCAGAGAGCGATGCGGCAGTCGCTGGTGCAGCACGGCCGGCGGCCTCATGGCCGGCGATCGGAGGCGGCAGCGGCGCGCACAGAATGGCTGGCCGGAGGTAAGCATCCCCTCGCGTCGCGGACAATCGGGGTGATTGCCTCGACCAAGCAAGCTCATGTTTACTACTCACGCTTTGTGTTTTCTCTCTGCATGCTGTCAGCGAAAATAAAAAAGCAAACGATCTGAGACTGAGTGACTGAGATGTGACTGCGCGAGACCCCTGGGCCTCGACCTCTTGCGAGCGGCCGCCGGCGCGCTCATATCGACGTCAGCGCCGGGGCAGCGCCAGCGGTCGCCGAACTATAACATAAGCGATTTCGGCGATATACTACCTCTGGGTACGGTACTCTCTCTCGGCCGACTGCACGCTAAAGGCTACACGCTCGCACACCACTTGCAGAGTGGCTCTCCCAGGCGCTCACCCCACCCGGTGGCACGCCAGGCCCCGGGCAGCCGGCCGTCACTCGCCTAAGCGCCTAAGCGGCCTAAGCGGGGGGTGCTTAGGGTGCTTAGGCGCTTAGGCGGCCCTTGCGAGCGTGGCGGCGTCGTAATACAAGTGACTCCGATGGCAATCATGATGCCCCTGCTAGTGTCATCGCTCAGAGAGCAGCCTCACGCACGTCCACTGTCTACCACTCGCACTGGCCCTGGTCGCACACTGCCACTGAGCTGCGCTGGTCCGCAAGCTGGTGCGGGAACTCAGCATCAGGTCGAGTCGAGGAAGATCGCGGAAGGTCAAGTCGAGCACTCTGTGGCCAGACTCAGATGCTTACAAGAGGGTGTCGTGAACGGACCCGGGAGGGTGGGTTACCCTCTTCCTACCCGATGCTTCGCTCATGCTTACCTATGAATCACTGCAGTGAAAACATTTTGCGGGGGATTTTTTCGCCAGTCAATAGAGCATGAAAATACCTTTCAGACGGCACCTTTCTGTCCTCCAGAGTCGAAGAACTCGACCGGTGGCTGGCCGCCAAAGTGGCTGGACGGCGCCGCGGCGCACACTGGTGAGCCGCGGAGCACACTGAGGGAGCTGTCCTCGGCGCAGCCGATCGGCTCCCACGGCCTGGGTGATGGCAGTGGCACTCTCTGAGGCTCCCTGATTTTTTCTGGTATTTGTTGAGCTCTCTCTGGTCACCTTCGCCGGGCGAGCCTGGCTCTCGCTGCACAGCGGCGCGACCCTCGGTGAGGCTGCCGATCGTCGAACTGGGCTTAGCTCTCAGTCAAGATATTGTGCATATGGTCGGTCTCTACAATACCTTGGCTGAGCACGACCGATGAATCGGCAGCACGGAGACAGGAAGGCTCGCTGTGTGAGTCGGCCACGCAGAGGGTCGGAACCTGGGTCGCAAGAGCCATAGGACGAAGGAACGCCGAAGTATGTTCGCTCTCCGACGCCGCGCCGAGCGAAACCTTTTCCTTCGAAGCTCAGCGTCGTAGCCGGGCGAGCGGAATAGGGGAGCCCTAGAGAGCACCTTGAGGCCGTTCAATAGAGCCCGTACTATAGTCGAGAGTCGCTCGCCGGCCGGCGCAGTGCTGCTCTGACCGCTCCGCCGGGCCGCCTCCGGGCCGCCGCGCCGCGGAGACGTGCACATAGGCAAGTTGGTATTTTCATATATGAACTTAAAAATAGTATTTGCTAGTCTAATCCTACTCATCACAACTCGCCAGGAACACCCCCACACTATAGGGTCATTGTGTAGCCCTGCTTAGAAGGAAAAGGTTTACTGCAAGGTCCGTATGGCTAAGTGTATGGCTCACCGTGTAGTCGGCCCTCGTCCGCTCTACACTCGCTAGCCGACCGCAAAAAGCGCCGCAGTAGGGGTCGTCCTTGGGCCAATCGGTGGCCGCGCCGGCGGAGACAGTGGCGGCGGCATGGGCGGCGGGGGGCTCGGTGCAAATGGCTCTGGAGGCGCTCGCGGCTCGGGCGGCTCCGGCGATGGGGCGGGCGGCGCCTTCGGCTCGGGCGGCTCGGACGGTGCCGGTGGTGCCGGGGCTTGCGCGAGGCTGCCGCCCACGACGCAGCTCATGCCCACCCCGCCCCTGGGGCAGAGGCCGACCGGCGTGCCGGAGAGGTGGAGCAGGTCGACGGAGCGCATGTTGAGTGCGCCTGATATGACATGGATATGACATGAGAAGCTGTTGAGATTGTGCCGGTCGGCGGAGTGCACATGTGGAGAGATCGCCGGTGAAGTCGGTGCGCTCAACGTTGCACTCGGAGAGCTGAGAGTTGAGGAGGTTTGCTCCTGTGGCAAAGGGGCGGGATTCGCGGATCTTGACGCGCCCGAGGGTGTGCAGTGAGAGGCGGGTGGAGCAGGGTGGGCGGAGGGGAGAGTGGGGGAGGGCCGTGGCAGCGCGCCGCGAAACGAGGCGCCGGCGAGTGCGGTGCGGATGAAGTCGACCTCCGAGAAGCGGGCCGCGGAGAAGTCAGCGCCTGGTGTGCATGGGGGCGCCAGAGGAGGTGGTGGCGCTGCACGAGGGTGTGATGTACGGGCGGGCTGGCCCTAGGGCTGGCCTCTGTGCGTGCGACAGGGCCTCTCGTGTGCACGTGGGTGGTGTGCGACCGCTGCGTCGGCAGTGCGTCGCACCCGTGGCAAGCGATCGGTCGAACTCGGAGAGGGAGATGGTGGCGGAGCGGAAGGAGGCGTTGACGAGGGAAGCCTCGATGAGGGCGACCTCCTCGAGGCGGACGTGGTCGAAGCGGATGCGGTCGAGCTGCGCGCCTGCGCGGGTGACATCGCGGGTGGAGGGAGGAGGAGGAGCTCAGTGCCATATCATAGCCTGCCACAACGGGCGGGATGGCGGAAAGCCGCGCGCCGAGGAAGTCGACGGCGGCGAAGGTTGCGCCGGCGAGTATCGTCGACGGCGAGAGGAGGATCCCTGGGGGGCGGGCGGCGGGGAGAGGTTGCCTGCTGCTTAAGGGCGTGGGGGGAAGGGGGGGGGGGAAACCCTTCCCCAGGGGTGTTTCCCCCCAGGGTTCAATCGGCGCGTTGGCCTGTCGCCTGGAACGGGGCGGCCCCCCTCCAGTTCCCCGAGGGGGAAAAAAG